ATTTGACCACCCTGACAGTTAGGAATTTTTTCCTAATGTCCAATCTAAACCTCCCTTGCTGCACTTTAAGCCCATTACTCCTTGTCCTGTCCTCAGAAACCAAGAGGAACAATTTTTCTCTTTCTTCCTTGTGACACCCTTTTAGATATTTGAAAACCGCTATCATGTCCCCTCTTAATCTTCTTTTTTCCAAACTAAACAAGCCCAGTTCATGAAGCCTGGCTTCATAGGTCATGTTCTCTAGACCTTTAATCATTCTTGTCGCTCTTCTCTGTACCCTTTCCAATTTCTCCACATCTTTCTTGAAATGTGGCGCCCAGAACTGGACACAGTACTCCAGCTGAGGCCTAACTAGGTCCATCACTACTTATTAGCCAGGATGATAGGAATGGTGTCCTCAGCCTCTGTTTTTTAGGGGGTGACAGGAGAGGGATCACTTGATGATTACTTATTCTGTTCATTCCCAATGGGGTACCTGGCATTGGCCATTATTAGAAGACAGGATACTGGGCTAGATGGACCATTGGTCTGCCCCAACATGGCCATTCTTATGTTAAACTTGCTCACTGTAGGTGTCACCAGGAAATTGCCTATATTAAATATTTTATTATATCTAACATAAATTATATACTATAAACACACACTCTCTCTCTCTCTCTCTCACACACACACACTTTTGGGCATCATTTTCCAGTTTTTCCACCAACAAAATGAAAAAAATTGCCAAACGCGGTAAAAACAAATCTACTATCAACAAGTTTCCATAACTGATCAGATTTTAAATTTTGTTTTAATCCCTTCATGGTGTTTTTGGTCTTTTGCTCAGAAAGTTTTGCCGGTTTTTTTTACTATCCAGAGCAAACTGGACATTTTTGACCAAGCCTAATAAATATCTAGCCAACTGGGAAAAATATTTGATTCTGTAAATACTTATTCCATTTTCATATCCCACATGTTCCAGACAGGCCGCCAAATCCACATACCCAAATAACACATCTTGTGTTATAGCAGTGTCAAAAAACACCCCCAAACTCTATCTTTTTTTCCCCTCTTGTCACCTGGCATCATATCACCAGATACCTCATGCTCTGTATCCACAATTTCCATTCGATTGTGAAGGAACGTCATAAGCAGAGAAAAATACTTTGTGGTATAAACATTAACTTGATGGAGCAGTAAAAGTGGTTTGTGGATGAGTAAGTTCTGCCAAGGAATGTCATTCCTAGCTGATTGCATTACACAGGGCCACTGCACAATGATGGCAGCTCATTAACTGGCCTCCTGCACTCCCCAAACTCCAGACAAATCTGCCAAATCATTACGCTGAAAATGGGATAGAATAAAAGGCCAGAATGACAACTAGGGTGGGGCTAGGAGCTCAGAACAGTCATATAGGGTAAAATCCTGAACTCCATTGAAATGCGTGGCAAAATTCTCCTGGACTTCACTGGACTTCCCCACACAGAAGAGGGGAAATCAACTAAGACACAGCAGAGCAGCAGCTAATGCCTGACCCTGCCACTGACTTCCTATGTAACCATGGTCAAGTCACTGCACCTCTCTGTGCCTGAGTTCCTCATCTGTAAACTGAGGCTGATAAATAATACTCTTTGGTTACACTGGCAATTCTTCTGGGCTGGGCTTCAGTCTTACCCTGTGTTCGTACAGCTCCTGGCACCATGAGGCCATGATTTTGGTTGGGGGTCTTTGTTCTTAAAAAGCCTTTTCAGAAATATTAACTCCCCTCTCAAGCTGAATTTGCTTCCCCACTCTTCATGCCCCTTTTGTGTGCATGAGCCAGGAGTGGTCCCGCTACTGAGTTGTCATTATAAGACCCTTAAGCTCGGTGCTCACCATTCAGGGGCACTAGGCATGGTCTGCAGGGCTTCATATTATCGCCAGTGCTCCTCCTTACAAGACAGGCCTCCTTAGCCTTTTGACTAGGACCCCAGCAGCTGAAGTTTGCTTCTCTTCTCTGGGATGGCATGCATGACATTCCCAAGCTGAAGTAGAAAGCCTTGATCCATCAAAGCAAAAGTGAGCTGAAGTGGTAGAAGCTCATGCGCGCCGCTCCAGAGGTGACATGTTCGGTCCCGCCCGTCGGCGCTACATCACCCTTTAGAGACATTGTGCACCGACCGCTAAATGCTCAGTGCAACACACAATGCTGTGCCCGAACGGAAGAGATGCATTGCCCTGCCACATGTAATCAGAGGGTTTGAACATTGCTACTAGCATGGAGATACCGTGGCGGTCGGCTCGCTACCTTAGACAAGTGCCATGGCTCTGTAGGTGAATGTCGCGCTCATCATGCTCCTTACGCCACTAATGGTAGAATGCCAATAACCTTGTTAGCAGTATTCAGCAGCCCGTACTGTGTCTAATACAGTAGCTATAAACCCAACCCTCTCTAGTCAGAAGGCTTAGCTTGCTGCGGGTGTGTAGCGGGGTTTCTGCTCCACCACAGCGCCCCTGCCGTCTGCTCGGGGAATTATATCTGCCGGCAGGTGGTGCGGTCTCTTCGAGACACTGCCCTCCGGCAATGTCCACAATAGCCTGAGCTTTTCCCCCCTTCCGGGGGGGGGGGAAGTTCGTTGTAGGCCGGCAGGCCTTTAGGAGGAGGATCCTCCACCCTGGTACATATTACGCTGAAAATGGGATAGAATAAAAGGCCAGAATGACAACTAGGGTGGGGCTAGGAGCTCAGAACAGTCATATAGGGTAAAATCCTGAACTCCATTGAAATGCGTGGCAAAATTCTCCTGGACTTCACTGGACTTCCCCACACAGAAGAGGGGAAATCAACTAAGACACAGCAGAGCAGCAGCTAATGCCTGACCCTGCCACTGACTTCCTATGTAACCATGGTCAAGTCACTGCACCTCTCTGTGCCTGAGTTCCTCATCTGTAAACTGAGGCTGATAAATAATACTCTTTGGTTACACTGGCAATTCTTCTGGGCTGGGCTTCAGTCTTACCCTGTGTTCGTACAGCTCCTGGCACCATGAGGCCATGATTTTGGTTGGGGGTCTTTGTTCTTAAAAAGCCTTTTCAGAAATATTAACTCCCCTCTCAAGCTGAATTTGCTTCCCCACTCTTCATGCCCCTTTTGTGTGCATGAGCCAGGAGTGGTCCCGCTACTGAGTTGTCATTATAAGACCCTTAAGCTCGGTGCTCACCATTCAGGGGCACTAGGCATGGTCTGCAGGGCTTCATATTATCGCCAGTGCTCCTCCTTACAAGACAGGCCTCCTTAGCCTTTTGACTAGGACCCCAGCAGCTGAAGTTTGCTTCTCTTCTCTGGGATGGCATGCATGACATTCCCAAGCTGAAGTAGAAAGCCTTGATCCAGCAAAGCACTGACACAGTTTGGGCCAGAGCTGTTAGGGTAGATAGGTGCCTAAAGAGGCAGACACTCACGTAATGGAATTTTCAGATGTGTCTAACTCCCATTGATTGCAATGGGGGTCAGGTATCTAAATGCTTTGGAAATCCCAGTGGGCACCATAGGCAGGTAAGTACCTTTTCACATCTCGCCTTTGTTCCTTTTCAAAGTCCTCTCCCAAGAGAAGAGTTGGCAATAGGGTGACCAGGTAGCTTCAGAAAAAATACCGGACACACTTGATTGGGGGGCAGGAAGGGACTGGCCAGGAGGGGCCTGGAGGAGGGGGGAGCCGCGCGGCTACACGCGGCACGGAGTAGCTAGTTCGGATTAGGCTTCTAATCCGAACTAGCTGTACTCCTCGTGAAAGTAGGAGTACTGAAACAGGGCTGGCAGGGGATGGGGAGAAGCAAATCGGCCGGTGGGGAGCGGGACTGATCCGGGCATATGCAGATCCCAGGGTGCTGCCCGTCTTGTGCACAGTCCCTGCAAAGCACAAGCGAGTCCTGCTATGGCTCCACAATGCGCTTGAACCGCACTTAGGAGCACGGACAGGGCTTCTCCTCCTCCACCCCTACATCAGACGCAACCAGAGGCTCCAAGTGCCGATTGCGGCCCCGCCTCCCAGCCACTCCCCTCGCCCCCACCAGGCTTCCATCGGGCACCCAGCCGGGAAACCAGGAAATACCAGACATTGCACATGTCCGGTATTTTCTGAATTTTTTACCTGACAGAGGGCCCAAAAACCGGACTGTCCGGTTGAATACCGGACACCTGGCAAGCCCAGTTGGCAAAGAGCTTGATTAGACTCAACCCAGCATATTGGCCTTATTCCAGGTTGAACCTCTGTGGTCTGGAACTCTCTGGTCCGGCAACATCCATGGTCTGGAAGCCAACAGAGGTTGCCAGTGGCTAGGAACTCAGCCCTGCAGCCGTCTCTGGGGACTCTCTACTCTCCTTGGCCAACCTCAAAGTCTTTCCTTAGAGCTACACAAAGAGAGTGACGTCTGCTAATTTAAGTGGGGATTTGTCTGTAATCATGCAAAACCTGCACGGATGCCGAAAAGGAGCTTCGCCTGCCTAAGAATTAGAGAAGTGGTGGGTTAGCACTGTGAGGAGTGGATAGGGTTGCAAGGTGCAGGTGCTTTGTTAGCACCAAGGACACAAAAGTGCGGGTCTTTCCCTTCTGCTGTTCTCCCTTTGGGGCCACATTCTACTCCGGGTTACATGCCTGCAAGTGAATAGAAGTTACGGGGCCGGAAATGCTCTCAGATATACCAGAGTAAAGAAAAGGCAGTTCCTCAAATGTGGCACTTCCCAGGATTTTTTCTTCTTCTTTGGCTGCAGGCTGCAATACCTGACGCCTTCTCTTCCCACTGGTGCTTAAAGGACAAAATTTCCTTGGTGAGACCAATGCTTTTACAAACCAGCTGGCCGGAGAAGCAAAGAGAAACTTCTCAGGCCACTCCCTGGTTAAATGAGCAGCTACCTTTCAGGAAAAGTGTGTAACATTATAAATAGTTATGGGGGATGGGAAGACTCTGTTATTTGGTGTTTACCTCAGACTTCTCTGAATTAGTTTAATATTCAAGCGCTGCCAGGCTCTCGGTCGGTCCAGGAAGTGGCCAGCCCAGGTCAATGTTTAACGGGGCTTACCAAATCGGGATTCAGGAAGGAAGGGTTTGGGGAGGCATAGCCATGGAAACTGGCCTACCGGACACCCAATCAGCTCTGCATGTGTGTGGTCAGGCAGACCGTGAACGTTGCCGTGGAGGGAACCTGGGAGCTTTACACACAGGCATTGCCTTCAAAGGGAGCCCAAGGCACAGCTCTGTGCAGCGGCCACGTCCAGGAACTCCTTCACCTAGTCTTTTTATGCGTTGAATGCCATAACTCAGCAAAATGGGTCTGAGCTACTCCAGGGCTCATCATAAGGTGACAAAAGTGGCCCCCGTGCAAACCAAAGAGGATGGGCTTCCTTCTCCTTGCACTGCAGCGGTGTGTGAATTTCGGAGCACCCTGGGAGACAGCTGTGCATGTTCATTCGCAGGCCTGGAGGAGAGAAATCCAGTGTTTCCAAGGCAGCTTCCACCCCTAAGAGAAACTCGGTATGGCAGATGCTCCACAGGTAACCTGGTCGTGGATAAGTGACTGCCCTTTCTACAGTGCTCCGACTAGCTGAGTGTTTGTGCTTTGGAGTTTGAATGATCTCTGTTGACCTGGCTCAGCAGCAAATCGTTGCATTTTAATTAAGACAAATGATGGGAATCTGCAGGTTTAGCAAATGCAATTGTGTGAGTGTGTGTGTACATGTTACTTTAGGCATGTGTCTAGTTCTGACATGCCCTGTGGGGGAAAAAATCAGCTTCTTTTAGAAAACTGTCTCAATTATTTATTTACATCTCAAATAGCCCAGCGCATGCAGTCCTTCCTTGTGTGAGTCATCCTTACACACAGAAAGTTGTCCCTGTGTCCTTGACTTCAATCGGACTAGCTGGAGAAGAGTTGCAGGACAGGTTCTAACCATGTATTTCTGTAGCAACCACTTTAATATGTTTCTCTATGTCTCTACTATGTGTGTATGTAGTTATTCGAGCTACACACCACCTGAGTTAAACCCAAAAGAATTATTCACCATTCGGGCAAGCCGATGTAAATCAAAGCAATTATAAGAATAGTATCAAGTTCTCCTTTTCACCAGTACATCTCAATGTTCTTTACAAGAGAAGCTGAGAATCACAGCACAGCTAATTTGGACCAGGAAGGCCCTAGACCAGAGTCTGTTACACACAGGTCTGGAACGGGAAACATTGCTTTAAATAAGCAAGTAATACAAACAATAAGGGAACCACTCCACCCTACCATTTGTATGTAAATACATCTCCTTTGACTTCAATGGGATTATTCAAATGAGTAAACAGATGCAGGATTAGGTCCTACTTTGTACTTAACAGTGAATTTCATTAGCAGTCACTGGTTTAATGTGCTTAGCAGGATTGGAAATTTTCCTCCTTCTATGCTACGTATAGAGCATATGAGAGGAAATGTACCGCTGCCCTGATAGAAGTCACATTTCAGGAACCGAGAGGGTCTAGGGATGAATATAGATTGGCTCTAGATATGCAGCATGACATTTGGAGTGTTTTGTGACAGCCACAGCACTTAAATAAATACTCCAGTTAGCAAAGAGCTAACCATGGGGTATTTAGCAAGTACATTTATGAAAAGTCATCTCTAGAAGTGTCATATTCCATTACATGTGCTGTTTTTGATAATAATAGTGTATCCCATTTGAATGATGAATTAGCTGGAGCCACTGTCTAACCGAACAAATATCTGTTACACAAAATGCTTTATTTTGTTCACAAAGATTCATTTCAGCTTGTGCTAAATTGCACTTTTCAGAGCAAGTGAGGTCTTTAAAAACTCTCAGAGAGGTAGCCGTGTTAGTCTATAACTTTGAAAACAATGAGTAGTCCTGTAGCACTTTAGAGACTTAGAAAAATATATTGGATCATGAGTTTTCATAGGTATAACCCACTTCATCCTAGGCCATCTGATGAAGTTTTACCCACAAAATCTCATGATCATTTACAGGGCTCAACAATTAATGTAATCGACTCACCCATGGTGAGTAGATTTTAGCCCGGTGCGGGCGTGCAGCACGGTCAGCGCATGTGCAGTGTGCGGTTCCGTGTGGCTGGAGAGTGGGGCTCGCCACCATGTGGCGACCTCTGGTCATTTATATCTTTGTTGGTCTCTAAGGTGTCACAGGACTACTTGTTGTTTCTGAGGTATCTTTGCTATTGAAGAGCAAAGGGAAAAAAAGCAGTAGAATTTCTGAAATTTAGGCAGGGGCTTCATTTGATTATTATCTGTATTGCAGTCATGCACAAGGGCCCATCCAAGATCAAGGTGCTGTTGTACTAGAAATTGTGCAGACCTCTGAGGACAGCCCCTGTCCTAAACCGCTTTCTCTCCAAATAGACTTTGATTGTAAACTCTCTGGGGAGCAGGGATGTTCTTTTTGTCCTGTGCTTGTACAACACCTAACACAGCGAGGTCCTAATTCCCGACTGGAGCTCCTAGGTGCTACTTAGGCAACAGGGGCTGCACCATGGGGTGGTCAATGCCAGGTGCCCCCAAGGGAATAAACAGACATAAGTCAGATCCGCGTAAGTCGGGGACTGCCTGTACATCTCAAGCCAAATAAATTATTAATAATAATGTTGGGAGGGGAAAGAGAACCCTACAAAGGTGAAATGACTTACCCAAGTTCATGCAGCAAGTCAGTTGAGTATCAAAGCTGGAACAGATCTCAGGTCCCCCTGACTCCCTTGCCACTAACTCAAAGGCCATGTCTTCATTAAGTAAAATATCGAAGTTGCCATGATCAATCTTCTGGAGTTCCATTAAGTGGGTCTAGTAAAGGCCCACTAAATCAAACTCAGAGGGTGCCCCCATCGGCAGCCAGTACTCCTGCTCCTGCACAGAGTAAGGGAAGCTGCCAGGAGCATTTGCTCCTGTAAGTCTTCTACTGTGGGGATGGCAAGCAAACTCGAATATATCTCAACTCCAGCTATTTAATTAACATAGCAGGAGTTGCATTTCTTAATTTGACCTTCCCCTTTAGTGTAGATCTGGCCTAAATCCTAGCCCTGAGCTTATGCTGCATTTAATGTTTTAATAATTCACTGTCTTTGCATTTCTATTCCACAATCAGAAATTGTGTAGGCACTAACTAGCCCTATGGATTTAAGAACAGTCATTTTTAAAAAGCAGAGTTTTGCAATCTAAGTTATAAATGGTTTTTTCCCGATAAATGGCAGGTAAACCTTTTCTCTTGCAAACTCAGCTGTTTGGGCCTTTTTCGCTAAAATGTGAATGTATTTAACTCAGCACATGTGTCTGTTTCTGTATTTGTTAAATAGTTGATAAAGCTTAATTTTGTGTTCCATAATCCTAGGTGCTAGAACTAGGGGTGCAGGAGGTACTGTAGCACCCCCTGGCTTGAAATGGTTTCCGTCAGACACAGGGTTTACAGTTTGGTTCAGTGGCTCTCAGCACCCTCACAATAAAAATTGTTCCAGACCCCTGTCCCACTGGTGGGGTTGATTTATTCCAGTTAAAGTCAAAGGACGTATTCCCTATACTCTCACTGGTTGTGACTGGTCAAGTGACTCACAAGGTTTTGTTTCTATTTCCTGAGTGTAGAAGTCAAGTGCAGATACTCAAATGTGTCCATTTAAACTTCTGTTTCCCCCAATATTAAAGCCCTCCACAGACACAAAATTTGTATCTGCAACTGCATCTGTACCCCCCCAAAACGAGCTGCGGATATCTGCACATTTGCAGGGTTCTAGATACCAAATTTGCATCTGCATCCATATCCACATGAGCTGTGGACATCCACGGGTTTGCACGGCTCTACCAATACTGGTGCATGGCATTTTCCATATTTATTGATATTAAAGCCCTCCACAGACACAAAATTTGTATCTGCAACTGCATCTGTACCCCCCCAAAACGAGCTGCGGATATCTGCACATTTGCAGGGTTCTAGATACCAAATTTGCATCTGCATCCATATCCACATGAGCTGTGGACATCCACGGGTTTGCACGGCTCTACCAATACTGGTGCATGGCATTTTCCATATTTATTGCTTC